CTTGTGAACTGGTTCTTCCGCCACCCTGAATTTGTTTTGCTGTGTCCTTCTGTCAAAAAGAAAAGCTATTTCCATAACCTTATGTTTAATGTTTTTGTGTTAATCCTCACATTCTTTATCTAAATCCAAATAATATGCATTGCCTTTACTATTCTGAAGGAAAAATACTTATCTTGGATCTTAAATGCCTAATTGCATTTGATTAAACAAAGCCTTCTTAAAATAGACCCCTGAAGGAAAAGATCCAATTGTTGGCTTGTTAAATACCAAACTAAAACAAAACCCTGAGGAAATGAAGGGGGGGGCTGTCGATGGTGTTACAGTTGCATAGGACTGATGGTAAGAAAAGTGGCACATGTCCAGAAGAGGCCCACAGCAAAGAGAGGAAACCTGGCTCACATGGAGAGTGGGATATGCCACTGCAGAGACTGATTTGTATTTGCAAATGAAATTTAAGGGACAGCTGTATATATATTCTATAGTTTGAAGACTATTCATTAAATAATATGAAATAAAGTGAAGAAGAAAATAATTATGGTGACAAGAAACAACTCAAAACACTACTGTATTCTTTCTTTAGCTCCCTGAAGACTGCAGGTCTTTGTGTTTCAATGCATGAGCTACTGTTTGGCACATTTCCTGAACCATTTTGTCTATTCACTTCTTGCTAATGTGAAAGTGCCCAGACTCCCTGGAAAGGCAGCTTTGTTGGAAACCTTTCATTATCAAGGATTAGCTGTTTGGTAAACCTGTGTCCCCTTTAACAGTCTGATGGGAAGTGCCAACTAATGAAGGGCTCATTGTGGTGGTGCCCTGAGTGTGGGACTTGAGTCTGTTTTATTGCTCAGCTTGCAAACCAGGGTCTTTTGTGTTCCAAAAGACTGAAGGGAAACTGAGTCATGGCCCTTGATTCTGTTGAAAACGTGGTGAAAAATACGCTTTCCTTTCTCAGTGCTCTTGCCACGTTTGTGGTCTAAAGGCTTCATGTATCTGGGAATTTTGTTGATATGTTACAGAATTACATGTGTACATTTGAACAATGTTGTGTCAATGCGTAGCCACAGCTTACATGAAACTTCCATATAATGCCAGCATGAAAAACCGAAATAAAGAAACCATTAAGTGCCTTTATCATTTCATAGTGTAGTTGTAAAGCTACCTGACAAAACCTGAACATCCTCATGCCACCCCTAGTCAGGTAGAAGGCATGGTAGACAAGTACAGGATTTACTTTTTCATTGATAACACTTCCATATGTGTTTTAAATTTCAAGAGATTTATTGAAATCCTTTATAAAAGTAATGGAATGGAAATCCATTCTCTGTGAAAAGTGTTCCAGTACAACTTAAATCATGAAGAAATACTGCTGAAAATCATCATCAAGTCTGTGATGTCAAACAGGATTCTTTTTATCTCTACAGTAAATCTCTCTCATTGAAACTCCCACGCCACTCGCACACCCAGGGATGCCCGGTGCGTGCAAATGCAAGGGAGCAAAGAAAGGCAGCCCTGTAAACCATCTGGGCAAGAAAACAAAGCCCTACCCACAGCCCCAGCCAGACTTCATGTGTTTGGGGAGGGGAGTGTGGAAGCACCCAAGGAATTGTAAAAAGATCCAGAGGCTGTTCAGGACCAGTGCTGTTGGGTGGGGGGTCAGCAGGTCAGTGTGGAACTGGTCATGTTCCACTAAGAGAAGGACCCAAACACATGGATTGGATTTTGTCTCCTCCTCTGTTACAGCTAATTAGGCCAAGTGCAGAGAGTGTCCCTACTGATCCAGGACATGTGTGACACAAGTGGTTCCTGCCAAGGGGAAGCAGTTCTGGGTGAGTGTTATTAGCTCTGTCTGGGCAGGAAAGGCAGTCAGGTAACTCAAGGGGGGGTGTGTGTGATTGAGGGAGTCATGGAAGAGATGATGTTCTAATGCAGGGTTTTGAACTCATTATCTGCATTCAAACGCTGCAAGAGCACTAATCATGCACATTAATGTGTGTGGTTGGAAGTGACTGAAGAGTGGCCAAGAATACAAAGGGTACTGCAGCCCATATCTCTCCCATTCCCCAAGCCCTGTCTGACCTCTTGGCTTCATGTGGCTCCTGCTGTCTGGTTGTACAGGACTGTGTGAACACATGGGGATGTGTTACATTTTTACTGGTGATCCTCAATACTTCTTCACAGTTGGCTTTTTATGTCTCAGTGCTGAAGTGGCTCCATACCATTCAAAAAGGGAGGAGATGCAGTGCTACGTTTGTCTTTGTAGTGTAGTTGTGTAAGTGGGTATAGGACACCAGTTCCCAGCACTGTTCAGGGCTTTGTGGTGGTGCAGGGGGACAGGGCACTGTGAGGACACAGGATAGGAGCTGTGGCACTGCTAGTGACTGATGATACCAGTGGAAAACAGGCCCTTCCTCTCCAAAACTAACCACTCTCCTGCTTCTCTGGCAATTCTTATGTCCCCCCAATAAACATGTACAATGTAACCCCCCATTTCTAAGATAAAAGTTGTATCTACATTTCTAGACATACTATATTCTTCCAACAGCCTGTGACTTGGCTAAACAGGAGGAAGACCGGATGTGGGATAATTTTGACAGACACAAACGTCATTCCCTCAATAAAACTCTGGCCCAAGCCTCCACTCCTGCTGCTGCAAAGCCACAGGCACCAAAACTGGTCCAGGTCTCAGCCCCAGCAGTTTCTCCAGGAGCCCAGCACCTCTGGCAGCACCACTCTAGCTTGGCCTCACAAAGTTCTCCTGCCCCTGGGAAGGGAGCATCTGCTCAGAGTTTGATCATTCTGATTTGGTCCCTCCTGGCTGAAGTCACAAGCGAACCATCCACAGCCACTTTCCAGAGAAATGAAGCAGGGATGTGGAAGCCACCTGAGGCCCTCACCTGGCCTGTGCACGGCACTGAGGTTTTCCTACCTGGAGCTGTTCTGCAGAACCTTCTTCCACCAGAGGGCAGCTGGGAAAAGGAATGTGATGGGCTTGCCTGGCTCGAGATGAGACAGCAGCTAATTTGATGCTAATTATTACAGTTGTAATTTCCTCCCTAAGCAGATGCAATCCCCTTCAGCCATCTCCAATGGCGTTATGCTTAGGGAATGCTCCCCACAATAAAAGCAAAGGCTGTGTTCTTTCCCAGTTCCCCACAAGATCCATCCTCAGACAGAATCTGAGCTAGACACAATACAATTAGTTATTTGTGTTCTTGAATTAGCAAAAGACTAAACTTTAAATACCCAATAATGCATCTGAACGATGTGTTTGCAATCAGTTTGTCCCTAAGCTCCATTTGTTGCAGATGTGGCATGTTTTCTGCAGCCTAAGGTGGCAAGAGCAGAGGAATTCAACAGCTCTTTACAGAGAGCTCAGCACTGCATCTCCTCCCTTTATGAAAGGTGTGGAGCCGCTTTGGTGAGACATAAAAGCTTATGATGAAAAACTATTGTAGGATCACAAGTGAAAATAAGTGACAGCTGCTACCTGGTGTAGTCATATGTGGAGAATACAGGGAATGGAGCAAAACCACTTTTCTAAGTACTTATTTTGCCTTTTCTTGTGATTAAAGGAGCTACCCAGCTATCAGACTTGGGATCCATCTGTGCTAGCATATCCCACACTCCCTGTGACCATGGTGTGTGCTTTTACTGTTACAAGTTTCAGATAATCACTGAAGACTGAGACAAAAGATTCAGTGTTTTTCAAACAGAGACAAGTGGCAGCTCTGACCACCTAATGACTAATCTCAGTCTAATTGTGGTTTTTGCTTTTCATACTTTCCCTTTTGCAGTTTCTTTCATTTGCTTTCCCTTTTATATATACTGTTACTTTCTCTGGGAAGAGAGATTTGCTCCTCTGTCTCATGTTGAGGCTGAATTCAGCTGAAGTCAGTGAGGTCTCTACTGCACTAACAGCAGTTATTTCTGTGGAAATAAATTGGACTTCAGAGAAACTGGAGCTTAGGATGATGGTTGCAATTGAAATATTATTTAAGTATGTTCATATCTCATGTTATAAACAAGAAAGTCCACCACTGTACTCATCTGTCACAAAGATAGCAAAATATTAGTTATGACAGTTCCTCTCCCTCTGAAGATATTACTCATGTTAAAGCTGACTGTTTGTTGTTATTTCCAAAGTTTTAATTAAGATTTTGCATTGAACTGAGAGGGGGTATGAACTCTCAGAGCTGAAGACATTATGGTGCTTTTTGCCTTCTTTGGAGGTTTCCAATGGAAACTTCATGTTTTCATACACACGATCCCTTTTGGTTTATGTGGCTGTGTCTGATGATCAGGACAAACATGGGAGAGAGCAGGATGGAAGATTATTTACGGATGACTATAGGGACATGGGAAGAGTGGAGGGATGAGAAGATAAAAGAAGGAGCAGTTAACCTCCAAGCCATGCAGAAGAAGCGAGGAATTGAGTTCCTGTGAGTTGCCAGAGCTATAAACAGCAGAAACTTCTTTCCTCCTGGAAATCCATAGTGGTACCCACATGAAGCCACAGCCTATGCAGTGGTTGGCTGCTGGCAGGGGAGCATGGGCTGTGCAATTCCCCACCAGTGCGCCCTCAGTTCTCCATGGACACGGGGATATAGAGCATTTTGGTGCCTAAAGCAGTTGCTTTTTCCCTCTTCTTTGTAGCCTGAACAATTATAACAATAAACCAAGTCTTGAGCGAGTTTCGTCCACTCCTGTGTGAGTGAAACATGGAACTTGTGAAAATCCATTTGTTATATAATTAAAGACTGCACTCAAATACATCATGTCACACAAGTCACCTTAATTTTGGTGATTTTTAATATTTGAGAGCCTGATATTGCAACCAGAGTGATGTTCCTTTAGCTCTATTTTCTATGAATAGTTTTCACTTAACTTGAGAACGCTTCTTTCCCCATGGGCAGGTGGACTGAAAGCAATAGTGCTGATACCTCCTTGTTCCCTAAAGGTCAAATTGATTTTTTTTCCTTCCTTCCTGTATCTCTACACAGGAGTGCCAAGGAAGTGCTGTAAGAAGGACTGCTGGAGAAACAGAAGAGAGTACTTCTGAGAAGACACGGTGCCACGTTGAGGTGACAGTTGCCTCTGTTTTAGTGGGGAACATGCTTTCATTCATGGTATAGTCAGAAGGGCTCTTTGTCTCTGTGGGGATTGGAACTAATCATCTGTGCTGCTCTACCAGCTTAAAATTCTAGCTTCTTTAAATGGGAATATTTGAGCAACACAAGAAAATGTTCCAAAAAAAGTCTATTTCAACATGATCCATAGCAGGTGCCCACTTTAAAAGTTGCCATTTCAGCTTCTGAAATTTCAGAACATCCTTCAATGGAAAGCTAATTTTATAGCATAATCATTCCATCAATCTCTGCAATACCAAATACACAATTATAAGTTCACTCATGTCTCTTATGTATACTGAATTATGATAGATTTTTAATTATATGACAGTACACTCAATATCATATACAGTGTAACAGAATTTAATGATTCATTTGAAGACAATGCAACCTAAATGTTCAGCCCTTCCTAGGATTGTCTCCCACATATGTACAGTAAGTACAGCTGAAAAGCTCAAAGCAGCAGTGGATTATTTTTTCATGATTATGAGCTATGGGGAACTAACTATTGTTTGAATCTGTCAAACTATGAGTTTCCAGAATTGAATCCTTTTTTCATAATTAAAGGAGTTGATCCTGGATAAGACAGTGTGTCAGACCTTGCACCTGAGCCCTGTTTGATGCTAGTTTTACTAGTTAATTTAATTAATTTTCCTGGTATTATGTAGACTTGTTTTATGAAGGTTAATAACGCTCCCAGAGCCCTCACACCTCTCAATTTAATGTGTGCCTCCACTGTCATAGGATGTGAGTGCTCTGCATTCTTTGTGTTTGCTGTTCCATTATGGAAATTCAGGGAGGCACAATTATCCTTGGGGAAATGTTGAAGGGAGGTGCAACAGCTGTGATAGGGCTTGTCTCTGCTCTGGCTTTTCACATAATTGCTCTACTTAAAAGCTTGGTCTAGTGTCTCCCATTTTGCTTCTTCTCTTTCTTATTTACTACATCTCCATTCTTCCCAAAGTCATAAAGTACCTCAGTTTCCATATGTGTATCATTCCTGCTTTCTATAATCTGGCTTTTGTCTCTCTGCTGCCAGAAGTGTGGCATGTAAACTTTATAGCTTCCTAGCTCTAAAGGATACTTACAAGAACATCTTATGTATTTTATGGCAAACAAAATAAATGTGGTGATGCAAGTGGGACCATAAAAACATCTGGCCAGGAAAGCCCCTTTCTAGCAGGTTGCCTTTCTTCCCAAGCCTACCATAGAGGAGTTCACACATCACTTGTTGCAAATGTTTTCTCTGTAGCTAAAACTGACTCATAAGGCAAATTGCTCTGTCTGGGGAGGAGGAGGTCAAAGGGCTGCATCTGTACTTGAGTGTGGTTCTGTGTGGGAGGCTTGGGGGGAGGCTTAAGTTGAGAAGAAGCCCAATTTAGAACACAACTAAAAATGAAAAATACACCTATTCACTGAATTCCAGGTAAGGTTAAGAGGAAAGGTTGCCAGCCAATGCTGTCAGTGGTCTGTTTGCCTGCTTCTGGCCTTTTCTAGCAAGCAGAAATTTAAAGTGATTAATATGCAGTCTCTTCATTTGAATGGAATTTAAACAGCAATTTTCTCTGGTGGTTTAATACATGTGAAATATTCTACTAAACTCTGGAATTTCGTGCTGCAGATGCATAAATGTATCCCCTTCCCTGTGTTCTCCTCACAAGAACATCAGACAACACCCCACACCTTTGAAAAGACAGAATGGTAAAACTGGTTTCATATAGTTCCTGTCTGAGAGGACACCATTCTTCAAACATCCTGGATTTTAAATGTTTCTGCTGCTCCCTGGGAAAATAAGTAGTAAAACAAGCTTGTGTGTATGTGAAACCAGTTACAGAAGTGAGTTGCCTACATATAAACAGTCTTAAAAGTGTGGGGTTTTTTAACATAATGAAGCAATTTCTGTTTGCTTTTAACATGGGAGCTGATGACCCTTTCCTGTTGGAAAGGTACAGCAAGTGTTTGGGAAGGTGGGGGACTCAGTGTTTCAGTAACTGAATAGCTTTGGTTCACTTCCTTTACCTGCCCTGGAAGGTGCTGACTTATCAGCAGGTTCAGATCTTACTAACACCGTTGGGAATCCCTTGAGCTCAAAAGGAATTATTTGCATTTCTGGCATCTCAAGAGTGGAGTAGGACACTGCTTCTGATGACAGCTGCACATCATATGTAAAATCCTAAACATTTCATGAGTCCTGACCCCCATCTGGAAACAGGGGTCCTAAAAGTAAACAGTGAAATGACAGTTGAGATGATCAGCCACTTAGTAAAGATTTAAAAGCCTGCCTTTAGTGCTCCTGTTTCAAAACTTTGGTAGATGCTCAGAGTTTCTACATATCCTTTCCTCACAAAATTAAATTAGATATTAATTCAAATGCACCACAGACATTTATGGTTTACCAAAGTTAGGATACATATGGAAACTTTGCTTTCATGGATGTTTATGACTCTCTAAGCAAGCAAATTCTCCTGAGATAATGCTAATTATCAGTGGAACCTATAGGAAAGTTCATGTTTCCTGAAACCATATCTGATATCCTCATATCCCTTCCATTGATTTGCAGGAAATGGAAGGCATGGGCTTCAGCAGCAGCTCAAAGATGAGATGTGCCATGTAGGCTTATGTCATATAGAAAAGGTTGGGCACAAATTTAGGTTGTTCTTCAGTCCTCATTTTCCTAGTTGTTGTTCAAGTGGATATTACCAACAAAACCTGGGATCCCTGGAAGTAGGAGCATAAATGCTATTACTAAAAATAAAGCTTTCATGGAGTTAAAATGGAAGCAAATCCATCTCCCGTGTGATTTGAACTACTGGTAGCAGAATAAAAAACCGTATAAAAAGCTGTGCTGTGGCTACTGACATGAAAATGATCAGAGTTTAGAAATGTGCTCCTCTAATGTCGCCTTCATTAGAAAATAGGTGTATTGAGTTGCTTACTTGGAGACAGCATCTAAGTGGAGATACAGTTGCTTGAAGATTTCAAACAAAATAGCAGATTTAGGGCAAGGAAAGGGTTGTCCAAAGCTCAAATGGATGTGTTTACTTGAGGAAGGGGTCATATCATTAGGGATTGGAAGTTATTTAATTTAATGAGGCAGAGGACACAGATGTTTCTCTATGTGGATGTATGACCTTGACTCAGAAATCAGTTTCCCAGTTTGAAATGGAAGTATCTAGAACTCATTTAATCTGGAACGACTTAGGTCAAATATATAAAGCCATTATATTCTGTTGCACAGTGGTTCAGTTGCACAATAGTTGGTAGAAGAGTTTTAAGTATTATTATTATTTTAATAGCACGCATAGTGCTGAGAAGAAAAGAAGCACCATGCTACTTTTCTGGTCTATGAATTGTCCTAGGAAGTCAAGTCAACACTTTTGTGGGAAAGATTGTTGGGGTGAGCTTTTCCTAAAAAACAGAATAGCTCAGACGAGAAAAAAAGTCATAAAGTACTGTCAACATTAATTTACAATGAAAGAAAGATGGCAAACGGAGAACACAGCAAAAAGGAAATTGGCTTCTTTCCATGATACTCTATGGCTTCCACTGTCCTGGAGTTGTGCAACTGGTTTTCTGAGCATGAAGCAGATGGGACACAACAGGCTTAATCTTGTTTTTGTCGATGTTGGTGACTCACCTGAGCTTTAATATGTGTGATTTGAAGCCCATGATTGAGCAGCAAGGACTGAGAGGACATGAGGAATGAGATACTCTGTAAGTCAGTGAATAGTCCAGCAAGGTTTGGTCCACAGCTGAGAGCCTGAGAAAACCAACTCTTCTAATTTGGTGTCTTATGCAAGCTCATGGGTGTTTTCTTGGAACCTTTTTCCTGTAGCATAATGTGTTGGAAAGAACTGGTTTTGTGGCGAGGCAAGGGAGCATCTGGCAGGCAATGAAGCTGCTAGCTAACCCTCAATGACTCAGAAGAAAGCTTCGTGTCCTGCCTTGATTTACTGCTAAATCATAGGCAATCAAGGTGGCTTTCAGTCCAATTACTAATGCCAGGCACACACAAACAACATAAAGCTTGGGATGCAGTGACATCTTCCCAGTTTGAAATATTTCTACTTCTTGCCTGAACTGCACTTTTTGGGGGCAGCATTCTCCCTTACCTCCATCTTCCCTGCTTTTACTGCTGATTAGAGAGATTTTTGCAGGTGACTTCTGCAAGGCAGGCCCAGTGCAGTGGACAGGAGCAGAAATAATGATCAAAGCAGGCTTAGTGCTCACAGATGGGTGTGTGCAAGCTTGGACTTGCAAGTACTTAGAACTGCCTTGGTGCATAGGCAAAGGCAAACCAAAATATACTCATTGTCTTATACACACACTGTGAGAAATTTAGCCCATTACTGTAAAAAAACCCCCTATTCTTCATGAGATAACAGGGTTGTATTTCTTTTACTTAAGCCTTGAACTCTTTAAGGGATCTAAAACATTCAACTGTTTGGCAAAAATAAAATGCAATGAATATTCTAGACTTGGCCTATTTTAGAACATAGATTTGCCAGATCTTTAGATCTTTTTCCTAAGAAAGTGCTGCTATTCAGGGTGTTTAGCCAGAGAGTCTCATCCCCTATTTTTTTACTGGCATTGATATGTGGGCTCTTTGGGCTGTGCAGACAAAAGCCCAGAGAACGTGAGTTCATTCAAGTGTGTAATGCTCTGTGTCTCTGACTTTCTCCATTACTGAGATCATCCAGATCCAGTTCTCCTCTCAAGAGATAATTGTTTTGCTTTTATCTCACTGTCAGTTTTGTCACAGGTTTTCCATTTTTTGTCATGGAAAGTTGCTATGAAAAGGTCTCAGAATGACAATGCAAATATTGTAGCTCTTCCAGGAAGCCAAAAAATGAAGGGTTTTGTTGGTTGAAAAATGAATTTGTTTCTTTGTTTGCTTGTTTTTATTGTTCCAAACCTCTTCCCTGAGTTTCTCCTGAGCTCTTCAAGTGCAAGGA